TCTGAGATCCTGTCTGCTTAGCTGCTGGGTTTAGCCCTGGCACTTTCTCTGTAACGGAAGACACTCCATACCAGCGCTATTCTTCGCCTGTCCCTCTTCCTCGTTCACCCCACAAGGGTCTTACCTAGACTCTCGTTGGTTCTCAGTATATTTTCGAGCGCAGGTATGTCCTTCCTGTCATATGATACACTTCTTTCTGTTTAAAATGCTCATTAACAATGGTAATTACAAATCGACATATTTATAACTACCCTCACATCCATTACAAGTATAAAATTAAATATGATAATTAGGGAGGGGAGAGCCATGATACTAGTCTTACCTTTGCGCCATTGGGGCTATTACTTTGGGTAGCTTTAAAAACATGCGAATGGGTGTGTTTGGGTGGGAGTTGAACCTGCTTAGCAAGGTAGCAGTAATACATAACATGGATCAGTAGATCTACTGCAGTGTTCCTATGTTCTCAAGGTATAGTGTTTACTCACAGTTTATGGTTAGTAAAGCAATTAAACTGTTAGAAATGCCTCAAGTATACTTGGAATGTGTTCTCTGGTGCGAAAAGAGATACATACCTGATAGCATATACATAGAATAAATTTGAGGGACTAGTCCCAAATCTTCGTGCTACTGGAGTGAACCTAGTTCCAAATCTACATACTATTGGAGTGAACCTAGCCCCAAATCTACGTAATAATGGAGTGAACCTAGTCCCAAATCTACGTACTACTGGAGTGAACCTAGTCCCAAATCTACGTACTACTGGAGTGAACTTAGCCCCAAATCTACGTACTACTGGAGTGAACCTAGTCCCAAATCTACGTACTACTGGAGTGAACCTATTCCCAAATCTACGCACTACTGGAGTGAATCTAGTCCCAAATCTACGTACTACTGGAGTGAACCTAGTTCCAAATCTACGTACTACTGGAGTGAACCTAGTCCCAAATCTACGTACTACTGGAGTGAACCTAGTCCCAAATGTACGTATTACTGGAGTGAACCTAGTCCCAAATGTACGTACTACTGGAGTGAACCTAGCCCCAAATCTACGTACTACTGGAGTGAACCTAGTCCCAAATGTACGTACTACTGGAGTGAACCTAGTCCAAAATCTGCGTACTACTGGAGTGAACCTAGTCCCAAATGTACGTACTACTGGAGTGAACCTAGTCCCAAATGTACGTACTACTGGAGTGAACCTAGTCCCAAATGTACGTACTACTGGAGTGAACCTAGTCCAAAATCTACGTACTACTGGAGTGAACCTAGTCCCAAATGTACGTACTACTGGAGTGAACCTAGTCCAAAATCTGCGTACTACTGGAGTGAACCTAGTCCCAAATGTACGTACTACTGGAGTGAACCTAGTCCAAAATCTGCGTACCACTGGAGTGAACCTAGTCCCAAATCTACGCACTACTGGAGTGAACCTAGTCCCAAATGTACGTACTACTGGAGTGAACCTAGTCCAAAATCTGCGTACCACTGGAGTGAACCTAGTCCCAAATCTACACACTACCATACCAGCTTACTGGAGTAAGACATGTGAAAGGCAATGTAAAATAACCCTTGAAAAGCAATGGCACCTTGGGCACAGTAAGATAAGTGTCAACATCCGTGGTTCAAGACTCCTTCATCTTGCTTCCAGCAGATATCAGAAATATTGCCGGAACACGTGTAGAAGTCTTCAAGAGGAAACAGTCACTGCCTACGCTAAGTGCCAGCTAGTCGCCAACAGCAACAGTCTTGTTGAACAAGCAGTCGATAGGAAAAACCCTGACCTTATGCCGGGGTAGAAAAAACTCTCGAAGCCTGTCACCTTTATTATTTTTTTATTTAATGTTTTTGAACAGTTTACCAGAGCCAACTGTGTTATTTGTCTGTTTTATTTTATACTGGTCGCAAACTTTTATAAATTAAAAAATGTTCACTTTTGACAAATAATAGTGGTGATATTGGGATAGAATTTTTATATGTAGTAAATATAAAAAAATACTTTGAAACACACTCATATTTGTTTAATTATAAATTGTCACCTCTTACAATAGAACATTAGATTGAAAAAGACTTCGTTTTTTTCTCATGGAACAACTGAATTGTTTATGATTTTTGCTGATATCTGCATTATGTAAGTTTTTTTCCCCCCAGTTAACTATATTCTGTTGTATTCTTAATATAAATGTTTTAGTCTACAATGTTTACGCGTTCTTAATGTTATTAATAATTTTATTTCATTACACCAATTGTTTTCTATGCAGTTTTCGTTTAACAGTGGCACTTGAATAATTTATATACGGTACTAAACATTTTTGAGTTCATTGCTTGTTTTTTAATATAATAATCAAGTATTAAAAGGTATATATGTGATATATCAAAGTGTAAGAAATGCTTTGCAGATAAACTGTAGTTTATCTACTGTTGTAGACTCGTCTGCCAACATAAGCTGCTGATTTCATTACAAAGGACACCGCTTTTCAGGACCAAATTATTATATATACATGTATATGGTGCCACATATTCTCCACAGTCCCTCCTTCCTGTAAGCAGAGAGACTTCAAGCAATTGTTTATGTTAAGTCCTTGTTTTAACATTACGTTTTCTGTTGAACATTTTGGTAAGACTCTTGAAATAATCACTTGTACTAGTTTACGTACTGAGTGTGATATGGAAACCTGTTTATATACTATTACTACACATTATTTTTATTTTTCTAACATTTTATTAATAGTTCCCAGGATAATTATCCCTACCGACCGGTCTCGGACCAGGCCTCATTTGTAAAGAAAATATTGGAGGAATGAGAATTATTAGGAAACATAAAGGAAAATATAGATCAAGTGTATATCGAGTATATGAATATGCAGATGTTTATAAGGGAAAAAAGAGCAGTAATCATGCCAGATTGCATAACTTTTAACAGGTTTCTGTTTTACTTTCACATGACAGGACTACAGTATTTCCCTGGATAGTTGCTGTCTACCAGTTTAACTACATTTCATTACGTTTTGACAAATTCATGTAAATATATACGGAATGTGCAAAAAATTATCAGATAAGTTTAAAAAGCTATCAGTATGTCATGGAAATAGTATCAGGCTGTCATGGTATTATCAGGCTGTCATCAGTGTCATAGTATTATCAGGCTGTCATCAGTGTCGTAGTATTATCAGGCTGTCATCAGTGTCGTAGTATTATCAGGCTGTCATCAGTGTCGTAGTATTATCAGGCTGTCATCAGTGTCGTAGTATTATCAGGCTGTCATCATTGTCGTAGTATTATCAGACTGTCATCAGTGTCGTAGTATTATCAGGCTGTCATCAGTGTCATAGTATTATCAGGCTGTCATCAGTGTTCGTAGTATTATCAGGCTGTCATCAGTGTCGTAGTATTATCAGGCTGTCATCAGTGTCATAGTATTATCAGGCTGTCATCATTGTCGTAGTATTATCAGGCTGTCATCAGTGTCGTAGTATTATCAGGCTGTCATCAGTCATAATATTATCAGGCTGTCATCAGTGTCATAGTATTATCAGGCTGTCATCAGTGTTCGTAGCATTATCAGGTTGTCATCATTGTCGTAGTATTATCAGGCTGTCATCAGTGTTCGTAGTATTATCAGGTTGTCATCATTGTCGTAGTATTATCAGGCTGTCATCAGTGTCGTAGTATTATCAGGCTGTCATCAGTGTCATAGTATTATCAGGCTGTCATCAGTGTCATAGTATTATCAGGCTGTCATCAGTGTTCGTAGTATTATCAGGCTGTCATCAGTGTCGTAGTATGATCAGGCTGTCATCAGTGTCATAGTATTATTAGGCTGTCATCAGTGTCGTAGTATTATCAGGCTGTCATAAGTGTCGTAGTATTATAAGGCTGTCATCAGTGTCGTAGTGTTATCAGGCTGTCATCAGTGTCGTAGTATTATCAGGCTGTCATCAGTGTCGTAGTATTATCAGACTGGCATGGTAATATTATCAGGCCGTTATGACAGTGAATATTAAAATGGTATAAAATACCGACAGGTTGTTAGTAAGACACATGCCTTTACTGCACGTATAAATTCCATCAAACACCCTAACTACTGGGAGCGCCTGGAAGCACTTGACTTGTACTCACTAGAGCGCAGGCGAGAGAGATGTATCTTAATCTACACCTGGAAGATTCTGGAGGGACTGGTCCCTAATATGCACACAGCAATCATTCCATACGAAAGCAAAAGACTTGGCAGGCGATGCAACATACCCCTAGTGAAAAGTAGGGGCGTCACTGGTATACTAAGAGAAACCACAATAAGTGTCCGGAGCCCAAGACTGTTCAACAGCCTCCCACCAGCAATAAGGGGCATTACGGGAAGACCCCTGGTTGTCTTCAAGAGGGAGCTGGACAGATACCTAAAGACTGTGCCGGCTCAGCCGGGCTGTGGTTCGTAGGTTGGATTGCGTGCGGCCAGCAGTAACAGCCTCGTTGATCAGGCCCTGATCCACCGAGAGGCCTGGTCGTGGACCGGGACGCGGGGGCGTCGATCCCCGGAATACCCTCCAGCTAGACTCCAGGTAAACTGTTGCATATGTGTCTTACCTAACTGTCATGACAGTATTATCAATTACCATGATGCTATCAGGCTGTCAGTAATGTCAGGAGTCATGGTAATATTATTATACTATTCTGGTACTTTTATTAAGCTGTCTTGGTAATATTATTATGCTGTCCTGGCAATATTATTAGGCTGTCTTGGTAATATCATGCTGTTCTGGTAATATTAGTTTGTTATGGTAATGTCAGGATGCTATGGTATCAGGCCGTCGTGGTAATGTTATTGCTATCGTGGCAATATTAGGCTGCTATGGTAATATCAGGCTGTCATGGAAGTATTATCAGGCTGTCAGGGAAATAATATTAGGTTGTCGTGGAAATATCATGCTATCATGAACATATGCTATCACTATTATCAGCGGGAAGGGTGGGCTGGGTTCTCGTGTGTTCACAAACCTCAGTAAGACGCTATCACTTGCGCGGAGTGTTCCGTTCTGTACATTTGCTCTGGTGACTGAGGAAAATATCGCAAATACCTGAATATGCATGTATATCAGCGACGAGAATCTGGCAAACATGTGGACGATTTTTCGCGTTACTTGGCTTGGGGCTTCTGTTAGCCTGTTATACTTTGTTGGATTTTCTGCTCCATGAAACACTATTTTTTTTTATGTCGGTATATAGAATTTTTTTTAGCAAGTTATGCAAGGCAGTCTAAATTATCAAGTGTGACGCGGGACTAAAAGCCTTGTTCCTCCCATAGTTGCGCTAAAGAATAATGAACGCTTAACAAGCTTAACGGTCTGTATGATAGAATTTGCGAGTATGGGAAGTTATCGTAAATGCGTGAGTACGAGTAAGGTTTAAATTTTTGAGCATAATTAGTAAAATTGTACCATTATTTACTAACCGTAACTTGTTTGGACCAGAAGTAATAGACTTGTCTTAACTGGGTTAGCAGTATATGATTGTTGCTTAATGGGAATAGCATCATGTACACCCACATCGTGAAAATCTAGTGTACATAACCAGGGCACATCCTCAAAATTACACAGAATATATTAACACGTGATTGACTTTTCTTTGCCTGAGACCATAGACAATATGTTCTGGGTTGATCAAAATCAGAGTTATCTGAGGCAAACGTTAACACCACGAGACGTATGAATTATATCTTCACATTCATAGTCCACTGGATTCATGAGTGACATGCTTGGGACATAGTTTGTCAGGAGCACCTCATAATATAAGTCGCTCAACTTCGCCTTAGTCTAGTAAGGTTCTGTGAGTCTTGCCGGCAGCATGTTATCGGCGAAGTTTATCCTGAAGCTTGGACATCATGCGTAGGAGCAACAATACTCTTACCGCTGATCCAGTCCTCGTTGAGAAGAAAAGGAAAGTTATTTTAATGTGGCTTATAAAGAGCAATGAATTCACCCTTGGCTGTGCTTACGCTACCTTAAAATAATAAACTGTTTACATAAAAAGATGTATGCAAGTCATAAAGTTACCGTGGATAGGTTACACTACTGGCATACATTACAAATCTAGTCCTCACATCTTTCAAGTCGATGTTTGTGTCCTCCCGAAACAATACTCCACACACATTTGTCGTCCGTTCTTATCTGTAATTTACCTGTATTAGAATCCGAGGGTCATCACCTCCTTGACCCGGTTCCAGACCAAATCTTGGCCACTAAACCTTCGTTATAATATACGTGAAACATTCTCGTATAAAAACTTAATCATGCGACTACAGTGTGTCTTCAAATGTCATGATTGTGCATTGCCTAATTGGTATATATCCCTTTCTTTATTGTCATTTGTCATTGTGACTACTGTAAAATATGGTTTGGGGCAACGGTGGGGCCTAGTTAGTGGTTCTGAGGATTATTTTTCTTATGGTCCGGTCTCGGACCAGATCTCCTGGGTTGGAAAGAAAGTATTAAAGGATTAAGAGGCAATAAGAAGCGCATATTAATGTCAAAGCCTGCGTACTACTGAGTGTAATTAGAAGTTTGTAAGATTTGCCTGTCATCTTTAGTGTTGTTCATGAGACAGAAAGAAGATAAGCAATCCCGCCAGAGCTCCAAAAAAGTTAACAGGTTTCCTTGTCAAACTCATTTGATGGTGCGATAATACCTCCGCGGGTAGTTGCTGTCTACCAGCCTATGTCTTGGCGATCCTAGGACTCAGAATTCTGGTTATTGTTTGTGATACAATGATATTGGCCAGGGGTATGGGTATAAAAGCCTAGCTCTTGGCCTAGTCTCTTAAGATTGAAATAAATTAGTTATTGCAAATCTAGGTAATTTCTCAAGCTGTTCTTAGTTCTTCCAGTGCCAGATCTAGTTTCAATTCGGATGTCAATCTGAATGCAAGTCTTTGATCTTTCTCGAGTTTCACTTTGTGTAAATGAGGAGGCCACGATGGTGCTGCGTACTCTAGTATTGGCCGCACCCATGGTGTATGGTGTCGTGAGTCACCGTCTAAACTTCTTAATGTTTGCCAGTCTAACAAGTACTGCTGATGTGTGCGCGCGCTGGAGTGTGTGTGAGGATAAAGAGAGAAACGGAGAACCATAAAACTAAAGAAAGATGAAAGTGCAGAAGAGAAAAGGAGAATGACTGAGTGTGATTTTGGCTGTATTCAGTTTTGCATACAAAATATTGAACCCATAAGGATAAAGCTCATTTCTGTGATGGATTACCAGGCAGGCCATAGTGACGGGTGAAACCCATCCACCCTCCCCTTCCTGGCTCGGCGTTTATGGTTGATGCTGCCAGGAGGGAGGTCAAAGTAGAAGAGGAAGACGTGTACATGGGAAAGGAGAAGTTAGGAAGGATGTGGAGAGGAAAAAAAGGGGATGGTAGAGGAAAACGAGAGGGAGGGGAAAAGGAAGGAAGAGGAGGGTGCTGAACGATGTGTTGACTGTTCAATGTAATCTTATTCGTTGTTGTCCACCAGTTACTTTCACTTGCACCGTCATCTGTTGTTCTCTGACTCATTGTTTGGTCTGCCACGCTTGTGTGGCCCTCCTGGTGTGTAATCGAGGATTGGCGTTTCTGGGTGGAAGGGGGATAGTCTTCGTGTTTTGTGTTTGCAAGGGGGAGCAAGGAGGTAGTGGCTCACTGATTTGTGTGAGGGTTGAGACGTCGAGTATGAATGATGTGTTTTTGGGTGGTTGAGGATCAGTAATTTGTGTTTGGGGTCGAGTCAGTGATTCATTTGCGCTGGTTAATGTCTCAATGATTTATGTTTGTGGTGGTTGAGTCCCTATGTTTTGTATTTGTTTGCTAGGGTCGTCTCAGTGATTTGTTTCCAGGGATGGTCTCCTCTTGATCCCGCATGCTTCTTGAGCTTCTTTGACCGGCATTATTGTTTGGTCTCTTGGATCTTAACATACTTCTGAAACAGCAGTGAATTTGCTTTCCTCCGCTCCCTCATCCATCAAAGGCTAAAGTAGTATATCCTAGAGTAACTTCTGATTAATTTGCGTGTTTACCACCTATACCTGGAGTATACTAATCTCTCTAGGATTTTCCAAGTGTATATTATCATCTATTTCTCGCCTGCGTTCCAGGGAATACAAATCAAAGGACTTAAACTGTCCCCAGTAATTTAGGTGCTTTATCGTACTTGCGTGCCGTGAAAGTTCTTTGTACACTCTCCAGGTCAACAATTTCGCCTGCCTTGAAGGGGGCAGTATTCCAGTCTAGAGAGAGAAAGCGATTTGAAGAGAATCATCATGGGCTTGGCGTCCCTAGTTTTGAAAGTACTCATTTTCTATCCTATCATTTTTGTAGCAGATGCGGTAGATACATTGTTGTGGTCTTTGAAGGTGAGATCCTCTGACATTACCACTCCTTGGTCTTTCACATTACTTTTTCGCCCTATTGTATGGTTAGAATTTGAAATTTCTCATCATTGAACTTTATATTGTTTTGAGTGGCCCATTTGAAGATTTGGTTGATGTCCTCTTGAGGTGTCTTCGATGGAGGACACTGTTATGACAGTTCGGGTGTCATCCGCAATGGAAGACACGGAGCTATGGCTACATCTCTGTCAGATATGAGGATAAGGGATAGGATGGGAGCGAGTACTGTGCCTTGTGGAACACAGATTTTCACCGTAGCTGCCGCAGACTTTACTATGTTTACTATTACTCTGTGTTCTATTTGTTAGGAAGTTAAAGATCCATCTACCAACTTTTCCTGTTATTCCTTTATTACGCATTTTGTGCGCTATTACACATTGGTCACAATTGTCGAAGGCTTTTGTAAAGCCTGCATTTTGTTTATCCTCTGTAGCATCCAGGACCTTGTAATAGTAGTTGGGACAGGCAGGAGCGACCTGCTCTAAACCTGTGTTGCCCTGGGTTGTGTAATTGGTGGGTATCTAGGTGGTTGGCGATCTTCATGATTTTTATGATATGGGATGTTATGCTATCGGTCTGTAGCCCTTTGCAATTGCTTTACTGCCACCTTTATAGAGTAGGGCTATGTCTATTGCTTTTAGTGAGTGTGAGATAACCCCCGTGTCCATGCTGTCTTTCCATAGAATGCTGAAGGCACGTGACAGGGGCTTCTTGCAGTTCTTGATGAACACCGAGTTCCGTGAATCTGGGCCTGGGGCATATCATTTATTGCCTTTTCAGAGTCTTGTGGTGTTAAGATAACATTAGAGATTTTTGAGATGACCAAATTTTGGGTCTCGTTCGTAAAAAAAGTAATTTAGATTGTCGACCCTTAGTCTGGGTAACGGCTTGCTGAACATCGAGTCGTATTTCTTTGCTGTCATCTGTGTATGTTCCATCTCGCCTAATCAAGGACCCAATACTGGATATTGTTTTACCCTTAGATTTGGCATAAGAGAAGAAGTATTTTGAGTTTTCTTCAATTTCCCCTTGTCCACTAAAACCTTAACTCAAATACTGAACTCTTATTCCTATCTGTTCTACAACTTTGCTTAATATTGTGTGCATCGTAATCATATCTGCTCTAGTCCTTACAGCCAAGGCCAAGTTAGATTCTTTCAACCTCTTCTCGGGAAGTTCCTCTCAGTTCTGAGTAAGAACTCGGCACCCCATTTTTCGGCCTAAATATGGGGTATTTTACCATTTTCTTGATTGGAGGTTTTATAGTCTATAACTTGGATAGAAATGTGGACGTAATTTAGACTGCGGCAGATGGACATAAAATTGCTTTGATTATATTGTGAATATATCTTTTTTGACAAATTGGTCACGATGGCAGGAAATTAAAAAATATACTGAAAATTGGTTGCCATGGTTGCAAAAAATTGCCAGGTTTTTGGCAATTTTGCCTTGTGAAAACCTTGAATAACTCAATAGTTTTAGTGTTTCGTAAATCGTGGAATTCACAGTTCTAGGACTAGTCTGATTGCAAAATTTTGATTCCCCTCTAATTTCTGCAAATGCTTTAACAGATGGGGGAAGGGGCTCCACGCTGGGGCCGTATATTCTGTGAATGCTGTTGTGAGGTATGCTAGTCTTGCATAAAATGCTTCTGAAGTTATATGGTTAATGTGTACTAATGTTTGCATATTTTAACCCCTTAAACTGCACCGTCTTCAGTTTTCTCTCTCCTCCAATCCACATGACCATTCAGTTTGGATTGAACTCGAATAGCCACTTATTGAACCTTTTCTGCAGTCTGCCCAGGTCTCCATGGAGTTACTTCTGCTTTCTGCTCTTGTTCTTCATGTTCTATATCAACAAGCAAAAGACTTGGAACCTGATATTTTCTTGTAGGTCATTAACATAGGAAGGGTAGGAGTCTCAGTACAGATCCATGTGTCCTGTCTTTCAAGTAGTCTGAAGCACCTTACCATTTATTCCTCTGTCCATTCTTTTTTCCCCCACCCGGTTTGATTTGTTCTATACTATTTAGCTTGTAGGTTGCATGGTGATTTACTTTCCTAGGCTTAGGATCTTACTTTTGTTTACATTGAACTGTATCCGTCACATTCCTGCCATTGCCTCCACTAGGTACTGAGGCGGATAATGGGATTGCTTCCATTACACGAGATTTAACTTGCTAACTATATCATCCATCCCCACCCCACAGAAACAGTCTCCTTTTCCTGTCTCGATTACAAAATAATCTGTTAATTTATCTAACCAATCTTTCTACCAGTGAGGATGTTACTTTCAAGGGTTATATTTTTAGACCTAAGTCATGCCTTTTTTCTAAACCAGTAACACACTTCCTGCCATAAAAGAAAATAATTTATGCGTTCCATGCCTACTACTTCACCCTCCTTTATCTTTAATTTTATTTAATTTGTTTTCATCACTTCAAACGTTAATGCGAGTAATATGCAACATGGCCCTATTGTTTATTTTTTTCGTTATCAGTAATTTTCACATATTACGTTGTCAAAATACGGATGCCTACAGTACATGTAATACTATAGTTATAGATTTTTTAATCTTATTTTTTCTTGGCATTGACTTTTTTTTCATTGATGTTATCCTGCAGTGATAATCAGACAAGTGTTATCTGTTGATGCCTGTTTGTTAATGGACGGCTTCCTCTGAGGGTAATCAGTGTCTTAATAGATGGATTATTTATAAGTATGCTCTTAGAAAATGTCTTAATGATTTGTTAAATGTTTAATTAATGTTTTTAATTTACCCATAGAAAATTATTTATTAGACCATGCTGTGGCATTTTAATGAGTGAAAGGCCGGAGCACTGAAAGTTATTTTTGCTACTAAGAACAGAAAACTACCTTACGTTTAATTTGTGGACATGTGACAAATAATAGTTAATAATAATACAATATGAACCTGGATATTGTCTAAGTGAATACGTTGGGAGCTGGTGGGTGATCTATGAATTATCTAATCAGCTGACGTAAGGTTTGTGGGCTGTATAGCCTACTACTGAAAAGTTGTGCTACACTCTGTGTATACTCCGTCGTGCCTCCTAGCTGAACGTTACCTATACATCATACCGTAAAACACCGAGAAGTGACCAGCAGCGATGCACGAGAAATTGGTGATCACTGAGAAGAGGACGAGGAGTCGCACAACCTTAGCCAAAATAAGGAACAGACTAGATCCCAGGCGACTCATCCCACCACAGTGGAGGAAGTGTCCCAGCTGCAGCAACAGGAAACGCAACTGTATCTGCTGGCGATACAACAGGTGTGCCCGTATTGAACACATGTATGCAGATGACGCGCGCATATGAATTCTGTTGCTTTTAGCATTAATACTTGATATTTTAGTGATGTTGGTGTTGCCCCGCCTGCTGTTGCTTTGCTTGCTGACTGGTATTTGCTATAACTGCTAACTGATGATTACAGAGTACTAATTTAATTTGTGAATTGTGTAAATACCTGTTTGGGACTTGAAATTTATTCTCATTGCCCTGGCTCGAATACACTGATACAAACTAGTTATGATCACCGTTTTCATATTCCATGCACGCCATACAGTTTTGCCTAATTAAATTCTGTCTATTGTATCGTTAACAAAGAGTACTATCTCCGTGTCTCTCTTCTCTTTTATTTTTTGTCCGTCTGTCATTGAGTACTCTCCATTCTAACCTTATCCAAATGAATAAAATAGTTAATTCTTTCAAAATCTTCGGTTCTAATGTATACCATGACCTATTTTCCTATTTTGATTTGTGGGTATTTGCAGTATGCTTAATCTCGTTAACTCGGTTGCACATACGCACCTTTTTTTGCGAATTACACCATACTAAAATCTGTCTTGCTTACCTGCATAAATATAATTTATCTTCATGAATTTTAATATAATTTGATTTGCCAATAAAACTGTTTGCTTAGACTGTATCCCGAATTTCTTATGCAATGACAGACTATTAGGAATTAACGTCAAAAGATTTTTCTCTCGCAAATTCCTCTACGGTGTCTACACTCGATCTAATTCGTAATTTAATTCTTGCCACGCGAATTTTTACTTGCGTGGTAAGAATTGAATTTTTGTCTGGTGGTGAAAATGTTACGTGCAGTCTTAATTAAGACCCTAGTGTAGTCGATAGGCCTTAAACTCCATTAACCAATCATTCTTTGATTACAATAAGATTTGTGGGCACAAGTGCACTTAGTTTGTCCATTTTATTTCAGTTACTACAGTCAATTTACATAGCAGACCCTAAGAGCGTTCTTAATCTATTATTATTATTATTTATTATTATTATTATTATTATTATTATTATTATTATTATTAAAGATTCGCCGGTATTCTTCCGGCCCGGGCCTTTTCCAAGTGGTGGCCCGGCCTTGGCTCCCTCTTTAGGGAGTGTCTGAGACCTAAGTCTCCCATGGGAGGAGGCACAAGTACCTCCTCATCTTTGGGACTAACTGTCCCCAGGCCTAGCCACAAGCTAGGCCTCTCTGGTCTGCCATCCCCGCCCCAAGGGGACTAATGGGAATGGCAGGCTTGTGAGCTGTAAGCTCTGACTCGGGCACCTACCCTACACAAGAAGGGCTGGGCATGGTGTCGATGTCTTTAATCTAATTCCTTCTGTCTTCCTTAGTGTTTTTCTGTTATCAGAAATTTCTTTTCTGCCTCAGTTGTGTTAATAAATTAATACCTCTCCTTTTCCTTGCATGCACTTTGGTAGCTTAATGCATGAGAAAACCTAGCCACTGCTCCTCAGTTCAAGAAATAAGAGAATTTGTTCCAGTTCTCAGTGATGGTACTGCTGTAGATTTTATTGCATTGTATTACTTGTCCGGTCAACAATTCATAACCATTGGGTTAACCATTTATTTCCCCGTCTCACCTTCGAGAAATGCCACATATGACCGGGATCCTTTTTTAAATAATTCAGTCGATTGCTCTACATATCTATTAACTTTGTATTATCAGCAAATATAATATCTGAACTGTATAACAAAAAAAAAAAAAGTTCCAAATGAGTCTTCGGCGGTCATCCACTCTTAATTTACCAACATGACAAGCATTATCTTCTAGTAGTTTGTATGCTAGTGTGGACTCGAGCCACTATACCAATTGCATAATGGTGTGTTTCTGTGTATGTGTGGCATCTAGAAGACGTGCGTGTTTGTAAATGTGAGAGAGAAAATCCTTCGTGGATAGTTCGGGTTACCACCAAGGGTTCACCTCACAACATCCTCTGGGATACAGTTGATTGTTGCAGAAGGTGCGTCAATAGACTGCTTTTTGGCACTATCGATCCCAGAGTAATCAATTATCGCATAAGTTGATTTTGTGTGTTTCTTTTAACGAGTGATTATTTTGTGCATGTGCTTTACTTTTTTTTTTTTTTTTTTTTTTGCTTGTGTATCACATTCATTCACATTTTCATAATTTAAAATTCTAAACATGGAAGCCATATTAACGTCTTCATATTGTGTGTGTGATTTCGCTATGTGTTTCATAAGATGTGAATGTTTCACCAGATATGTTTTCAAGTATTTTTTTTTTGTATTGTGTATCCAGTAGTACTTTTTATTTTCTTATTTTGATTTTCATATTTTTACTATTTAGCTTAGTCGTCTTCGTTATTCACTTTTTTTTCCGTTTCTTTATATCTTTTTAATTAAAATCTAACTGGAATAGTGCCGTAAGAACGTTGATGGATAAAGCATAGAGTTCAATCACACTCGCCAAATAGAGCGATGGAAATCCTCGAGACATGGAAGTACTGCAATATCATAAGAAAATGAAATAACACTGCAGGCCTACTGACCCATACTAGGCAGGTCCGTTTCACACCCACTCGTGTACCCGTCCAACTTGTATGTTACATTTTCCTTCCTTTTTTATCAGTGTAAGAAAAGCGCCCTCCAAATCAGTTCTCCACGCACTACCATCACTCTCTAATAAAATTATAATTCTTGCTAACAGCCAGGTTGCCTTGCGAGTCTACAAGTAGTCTTACAAGCCGACGCTCCAGTCGCCCTCACTAGAGATGCCTGTCTATATGTATATTAATCTCATTTCTTAACTGTTATCTGTCGTCTCTGAATTAGGCAGCAGCTTTAAGTTCGAAAGCTTAAATGTAAGAATTACAGTCAACACGATTTTTTTAGTAGAAAAAATTAAGTAAAACTACGCAGTTTGAAAGAAGTGCCAGGGCAAAGTAATCCGCTGACTCACGCCAAACTTGTATTTTTCTGGTTTTGGTTTGCTAATGATTTTTTTTACAGTACTTTTCTGTGCATGGTTAAGTTTTCAGGGTATGTTATCCTACCTAAGCTTATTTCAGAGTTCAGTCTTGTACCACCCCCAGATTGCGTCTCCCAACAGTCAATCAATAAAAATTATTAGGTTTAAAAGAAAGAAAACCAGGGAGTTGACATCTAAGTAAGGACAGCAAGGTAGCGTCTCGTATTTAGCATGTGGAGCTTCGAGCCTCGACCATTAACTGGGTGGGTTGAGCCACACTGGTTTAGTACGTTAACCAGATACAGGAAGTCCTCACCTAACGTCGTCGATAGGTTCTTGGACACTGCTACCTTAAGCGAAACGACATATAACGAAACCAGTTTTACCATGGGCTAATTGATATAAACAAGAGTTAAGTTCCTGTGGCTAGGGAGAGCCGAGAGGAAGGGCAGTAATGCTGCAGACGCCATGTCCACGAAGTACGTCGCTCTGGGGTGCTGTAGAGTTGCATATTTATTCTATTATCGACATTTTATTGTTTTAGGTATCGCATGTTTTTCAGTTATATAACTCACTACATATCATAAAAACTGAATACAAACAACCATAAGGGAGGAAATTGACATTAGCGAACATAGTTTCGCCGATGCACGTTCTCCATCCAGATATTTAGTCTTTCCATATTTTCCATTTGGCCGGGAATTGATTTCTTTTTCTCATCAACGTTATAACGAAACGACGTTAAATGAGAACTTCCTCTATAAACAAATCTTCCACAGGTCTGTGGAAACAACATAAAGACCTAAAATTCAGTTATTTACTGGTCTCTCCCTCTCTCCCGTCGCAACTCTCGTGATGCTAGTAGTGTGTGTGACTTGTTCTTCTGGTTTTCAACCTAGCTGGTGGTACAGTGGTTATACGGGCCGGGGAGGCCCATATAAATCTTAGTCTCTTTCAACATTTTCTTGAGGCATTAACAATCTTGCTCCTAGCTGGTGGTACAGTGGTTATACGGGCCGGGGAGGCCCATATAAATCTTAGTCTCTTTCAACATTTTCTTGAGGCATTAAACAATCTTGCTCCTTCCATCAAGTTCAAAGCTGAATGGGAATCCATCTCTGCATCCTTTCCCGGATGTACATGTCTGTTGCACTGTGACAGGCTTTTCTCTTTCCGTTTATTGCAAGCAAGTGAACAGTGCCATGTACATTCACTACTTTAATAACCATGCTACCACTGTCAAGAAAAGTGTTTTTATTTCTTTCTCCCTGCCCTTAGCATCTGTTCCCCTCAGTTTCTTGACTCGGAAATTTCCACTCTTCGCAGTTCGTTCTCTCGCCTTGGCTACTTTTCTGATTTTATGAACTGTCTACTCACATGCTAAACGAATTTTTCTGAAACTCTCGACTTCGAAATCTCTTTGCCTTTCCTATATTCCCAGTCTTCCAAATCTCAACAACTCCCTCCATTCCTTAGACCTCAAACTTGCTTTTCGCCAAACTAATACCCTTTGTAATAATCTAGTTCGTACCTCTCCTCCCGCCATTGATGCTTCCGGAGTCGACTCCATTTCCTGCTCTTCTTGTCCTTTCTAATACTTTGGAAAAAAAAAAACTGGCCGTTCTCTTGCTGAGACTTTAATAACACAAAAGAATTGTTAGCCTTGCCGACACTAATAATGCTCTTTTCTCTCATGTTAAAGATCACGGTCATCCTTTTAACTGGTCCTCTGTTAAAACTGTCTACCCTTCTAGCCTTCAAAGATGCCGTCTTGTTGAAGAATCCCTTGTGCAAAGTTTTCTTAATATGAATCTTAGTCGTGACTTTGTTTTTGTAGATGCTTTTCTTTTATCATTACATTGTCAAATGCTTCATACTTCAGAACACTCGTGACTTAATCTGATGTTCATCTTCTCTCCATACCTCTTCTCCTTTCCAATATTTTAATTACCTTTCCTGTCTTCTACCTAGGTGGGTTCTGTCCTACCTCCACTATTTCTTCTACGACTACTACTACTACTACTACTACTACTACTACTACTACTACTACTACTACTACTACTACTACTACTACTACTATCATCTTCACGCAAGTCCCCACCCTCTGACCCCTTTTTTCACCTCTAATGTTGCACTACTTTTTCTACAACTACTACTGCTACTGTTACTACTACTATCGCTGTTGCTAATACTGTTACTACTATGGTTACTACTACTGCTACTTGTACTACGGTTACTACTACTGTTACTACTACTACCACTGTTACCACTACCATCATTACAACTACTACTCCCACTATAATACTATTCCGTCCTTTCGTTATACTACTCCCACCCCCCTCCTCGTATATTCTGCCTCCCTTCCCTTCCCGCTTCTGGGTGACAAGTTAATGGTCCAGGTCGGACCGAAGCGTCGTCATAAGTTTGTGTCCTGTGTGCTGGTTATTTGTGTATAGATAAATTAAGATTTGCGAGTTCTCTAGTTTATTATGAATCTACTTGTTAAATGTAATGCTTGCCTCATTGTGTTTGCAGGGGTCGATTCGCGGCTCGTGTGTGTGTGTGTGTGTGTGTGTGTACTCACCTATTTGTGGTTGCAGGGGTCGAGTCCTAGCTCCTGGCCCCGCCTCTTCACCGGTTGCTACTAGGCCCTCTCTCTCCCCGCTCCATGAGCTTTATCAAACCTCGTCTTAAAACTGTGTATGGTTCCTGCCTCCACTACGTCATTTTCTAGGCTATTCCACTGCCTTACAACTCAATGACTGAAGAAATACTTCCTACTATCTCTCTGACTCATTTGTGTGTGTGTGTGTGTGTGTGTGTGTGTGTGTGTGTGTGTGTGTGTAAAGTGAAATTTATGGTGTACTGATAGTGTGTTGTTTGTTTCAGAAGAGATGGTGTCGCTGACGAGCATATGGCAAGTGTGGGAGAGTCAGTCATCGTCATCACAGTCTCTGGAGAGAGCCCTACGTCAGGTCACCACCGTCAGGGAGGAGCAGCACTTCATTATCACCACCACGTCACCCACACACTCCCCACCACTTCCTCCGACACACACTTCCCCACCACCCACACACTCTCCCCCATCTACACACTTGCCCCCACCTTTTCCTCCCCCCACACACAGCCCACCCCTGCCCCCAGAAGTGTCGGAGTACCCCGCAGCTCCACCACCGAACACCAGCAGCCATCTGAGCAACGGAGCACCAGTGGTGGAGTACGACGCGCCGGTGTTGGTGTCGGAGGCCTGTCCAGCAGTCAGCACAGGCACGAGGGTACGGTACACTCCTTAACGAACCCGGGTACGGTACATACGGACCCGTCCATGCCGGGTAGCGGCTTGGGCTTGGGTGGTGGCGGGGGCCCCACCCATTTGGATTCCACAAACTTTAACACCTCCTCCACCACCTGCTCGTCCACCTCCAACACCAATACTTCCTCCACCTCGGCCTCTTCTCACACTGGGGGTGTCTGCCTTCCACTCTCTGATCTGATGGACTACAGTGGTGACGGGTCTGATGGTGATAACTACCAGGTAGATGGCGCTAACTAACACCCTTTTTTGCACCATTACCACAGCTAACCCTCTCCTTTCTCTTTCTTCTATCCCGCAGTTTACCTTATGTAGTGCCAATCTCCTATTTGTAACCTCTTAGTGCCACTTTCTTTGATGGTTACATTTCTAGATGTACTATTAAGCATGTTTCCATTCCTTAACATTTAGCATGCTATGATCAGTATACAGGTGTCATCACCTGTATACATATTTCATGTGTTTTAACATATTTTCTGTACATGAAATTGAATCTTTTCGTGAAAGATGGTGTGACAATTCCCCTCCACCCCCGACGCCACAGGATTCTTTCTTATATATTTATATATAATATTGGAATTTTGTTATTTATATTTTTATACCTTATTGGTTTGGATGTCCTATCTATGTATTCACGTTATTATCTATGTAACCTTTGATATTCCTTTGAGTTTAGAGAGTCTTGGTACTATCGGAGCCCGGCCATAGGCCAGGCTTGTAAACTTTATAGCAGCGGTGGGATTCGAACCCACGCCTCCTGAGAGACTGGAGCCTGGAGCCTAAATCCTCGTACGCACTCTCTCCCTTTCTCTTTCTACATAAATAGTGACGACGAGATGATACTTTGTAAATTATGGACACACTTGTCTTCCCTACAGTGACATTGTTAGCAAGGAATCCTGCTGTTTGATGTGTAATTTGTGATTTGCCGCTGATATGATAAATATTGTAACGGTGGAGCCCTGTCTTCAGTCTTTACGGATCAGGCGTGGTATTCAGAGAGACTGAGAACTTTTTAGAGGAATGGGTTAGCTTGAGTGATTGCTGAAGTTTTCAACCTTTAAATGATCATTGTTTTCTAACTGTTTATATATGCGTAGTTTTATTATATTTTTAATCTGGTGTGTGGGGCGTGTTTGCTGACTTTTAATAGACAGAACGCTGAAAGACATCCAAGTCCCGGAACTCATAAATATACACATTTCATCTTGCCTTATTACCTCAGTCTCTCTGCCTTGCTTTCCCATCCTTACTTCTTCATTTACTGGCAACACTGGTTTAACCCCCAGAGGGGCACACGGAGAGATTGAAGAGGGGATATGAATCTAGATACCTGGTAATTACTCGGACGTTAACGAAGTTTAGCTCAGGTGTTCATTTTTCTTCTTTACCTAGTGTGCCTCCCCAACGTCAAGCGCAGCCTGCAAGACTGGATGATGATAATTGAGACACTTGGGCAACATTTGGGAATCTTTTTATTCTGGAAACTTTTCGCCATCTAGTAGCTTCTTCAGTCCAATACAGAGAAGAACTTTTAAGATGAGGAGCCGAGGTAATCAGTCCCTCGGCCTTGAGTCGATGCGTTCAGTCCATCAGTCTTGATAACGATTCCCAAATGTTGCCCAAGTGTCTCGGTTATCAACTTGTCGGTTTTCTAAACCATTTATAGAAATATTGGATGTGTTTCCGGGTGCGGGGAGACCAGCCACACCTGTACACACTCGCCTACTTGGAGTTTACAACGGTCTGGCTATACAGTAGCTTCTGGCGTCAGTTTTTAAGTATTTGCTATCAGCTTTAGTCTTTGCTTCCAGTGTCTTATACGCTTGGTTCATTGAGCAGCAACAGCCTAACTGCCCAGGCCGTTAACCAGCTAGACTAGTCTGAGACATGGCCGTGGGGCCGATGATCCCGGAACTATTTACATGTAAACTACTGGTAAACCCCCCTCTCTCAATTTGCCTCGTTCTGCATGCTCACAACTTTTTCGTAACGTTCCTGTGGTTCCTCCGTCTCCCAAGTTTCTCTCAGTACTCTGGCTCTTCAGCCTGTCCCCCTCTACTGTCTAATCTGAGTATTTTATATGACATGATCATGTCCTTGGCTCTCTGCTAGGGATGTTAGGTCAAGTGCTTAGTCTCCCCTCGTGGTCAGTTTTCCTGTTTCGACACCAACCTGGTCGCGATCCTTTGCGTCTTTGTTTATATGTTTCATTAGGTGCGGGCTCTATGCTGGAGCTGCATTCTCCGAGATGAACTTAAATTGTGCATGTCCTTAAATATTCTTTACTAAAGTTCCTGTTAGCTAGTTTCGCAGATGAAGCTGAAATTATATGGCTGATATGTAGTTTTGGTGATACATGCTTGGTGCTATGTTTTCTCCTAGATCTGCATACTCAAGAATGGGTAACACAAATCAGTGTGTGTGTGTGTGTGTGTGTGTACTCAATTGTACTCGCCTAATTGTGGTTGCAGGGGTCGAGACTCAGCTCCTGGCCCCGCCTCTTCACTGATCGCTACTAGGTCCTCTCTCTCTGCTTCCTGAGCTTTGTCATACCTCGTCTTAAAGCTATGTATGGTTCCTGCCTCCACTACATCACTTGCTAGGCTATTCCACTTCCTGACGACTCTGTGACTGAAGAAGCACCAGACGAGCCTGGCCCATGGTCGGGCTCAGAGAGTTGATATACTCTCGAAATTTTGCACACAGAAATCACTCCCTACGAAAGTAAAAGACTGGGCAGGCGATGCAAAATGCCCCCAATTAAAAGTAGGGGCGCCATTGGTACACTAGGAGAAAACACCATGTGTCCGGGGCCCAAGACTGTTCAACAGCCTCCCATCAAGCATTAGGGGAATTACCAATAAACACCTGGCTGCCTTCGAGAGAGAGCTGGACAGACACCTAAAGTCAGTGCCGGATCAGCCGGGCTGTGGCTCATACGTTGGACTGCGTGCGGCCAGCAGTAACAGCCTAGTTGATCAGGCCCTGATCCACCGGGAGGCCTGGTCATGGACCGGGCCGCGGGAGCGTTGATCCCCGGAATAACCTCTAGGTAACCTCCAGGTAAGGTATATCCTAACATCCCTGTAACTCGTCTGAGTCTTCAGCTTCCAATTGTGACCCCTTGTTTGTGTCCCCTCTCTGGAACATTCTGTCTCTGTCCACCTTGTCTATTCCACGCATTATTTTGTATGTTATCATGTCTCCCCTAACCCTCCTGTCCTCCAGTGTCGTCAGTCCGATTTCCCTCAACCTTTCTTCGTAGGACATTCCCCTGAGCTCCGGAACTAGCCTTGTTGCAAACCTTTGTACTTTCTCTAATTTCTTGACGTGCTTGACCAGGTGTGGGTTCCAAACTGGTGCTTCATACTTTAATATGTGCCTGACGTACAGTGTACAGTGTCTTGAACGATTCCTTACTAAGGTATCGGAACGCTATTCTCAGGTTTGCCAGGCGCCCATATGCTGCAGCAGTTATCTGGTTGATGTGTGCCTCCGGAGACGTGCTCGGTGTTATGGTCACCCCAAGATCTTCCTCCTTGAGTGAGGTTTGCAGCCTTTGTCCACCTAGCCTATACTCTATCTTCGGTCTTCTTTGCCCTTCCCCAATCTTCATGACTTTGCATTTGGCAGGGTTGAATACGAGAAGCCAGTTGCTGGACCACGTGTCCAGCCTGTCCATGTCTCTTTGCAGTCCTGCCTGATCCTCATCCGATTTAATCCTTCTCATTAGCTTCACATCATCTGCGAACAGGGACACTTCAGAGTCCATCTCTTCCATCATGTCAGTCACATATATCAAAAATAGCACTGGTCCTAGGACTGACCCCTGTGGGACCCCGCTCGTCACAGGCGCCCACTGTGATACCTCATCACGTACCATGACTCGTTGTTGCCTCCCTGTCAGGTATTCCCTGATCCATTGCAGTGCCCTTCCTGTTATACGCGCCTGATCCTCCAGCTTCTGCACTAATCTCTTGTGAGGAACTGTGTCGAAGGCCTTCCTGCAGTCCAGGAAAGTGCAATCAACCCACCCCTCTTTCTCGTGTGTGTGCGCGCGCGCGCGCGTGCGTGTGTGTGTGTGTGTGTGTGTGTGTGTGTGTGTGTGTGTGTGTGTGTGTGTGTGTGTGTGTGTGTGTGTGTGTGTGTGTGAGAGAGAGAGAGAGAGAGACTGGCGACTGTTTGGGGTGTGAGTGCGCGTGCTCGCATGCACGCGTGAATGTATGCCGTGGACACACAGGAAGTTAGTTGATGATTGAGAGCTCAGCTGGTGGTGCGTCTTATTGCTCACGCTCAGATAGCGTTGCTGCCCCATCCCCCTCACATACACTGCAGTGCCATTCAGTGAGTACCACTGCTCCACGAACACCAGCCTACAACACTTCCTTTCATAGAAACACTGTGCAAAGTAAACCTGTATTATATACAACGTTTCGCTCTAGGTAGAACTTTATCAGTTCTGCACCAAAAGTTTGAATAAATGGTCTAGAAAACCGACAAGTTGATAAATAATACAGAAAGAAAGATTGGCTCTGCTGGAAGTAGAAAGACTCTGTGCCCTCCTACTGTACTTGTCGCAGGCAACACTTCCTTCCCTTAGCTCCTTTCTATACTCAACTGTTTGCTCATGGAACGGCAGCTCCAGTCTCTGTTGGGTAAACAGTGACAAAAGAAGACCAGTGGAACTAGACACTGGTAGCAGAGAATCCTTTCAGTACAACGTTTCGTCCAAGACTGAACTTTATCGAATATCATACTTGATAAAACTCAGCCTTGCCTGAAATGTTATATTAAAACTAGTCTCTGCTACCAGTATCTTTATTTTCAGTCTCTGTTATTTCATTATTTAGGAGGAAAATTGGCTCACTTAACAAGTTTCTTTCCTATGATGGCTTGTTTAGTTGTGTGGGGAGTGTATGTCCGTGGTTACAGACAACCACGGACGTACACTGCTGTAGACAGTGGTGTCTCCCGACATATGCTAATGTAGCCGGTGCTCCAGTGGTAGGCTACAGCAAATCTCCTGCTCCTCATAACCAACATTGTTCTGGTTAAAGGGCTCGTTAACTCGAAGGTTTATACATTCAGTCTTGAACTAGAGTAAGATGTCTGTCCATGTTGCTTCCTCACACTTATTATTATTGAGGAGAGGCGCTAAACTAGTAAGGGTCACGCAGCGCCGGGGGAATGGGTGGCAGTCTGATTCGATTCAAGAATAG